GATATCGTGTTAGGATTGACAGACTAGGGAGTCATTTTGAGCCACCTTTGGCAAAGTAGAAAGGAACTATTGGCCATCGGTGATCGGTCCTGTGGGAACAATGCTCCGTCCTCTCGAGGACGCGTGGTCAATGGTCTAACCGCTAAGACATGCAAAACATAAGAGTACCCCCCCCCCCCCCTCCCCCCCGTCTCGCCAACAACAACTCCCTGTTGACTTCCCGGCAATACAACACATAGCACTGGTTCCCTATCAAGATATCTTTCGACACCGAGTTTGAAAGACGTAAGAGAATGGTCAGTCTCGACGCAGGTGCTTGGCAATGCAACTCCTGTCACTAAGGCATGCTCAACCTCCGAGCCGTGAAAGAATGCAGCATTGAACGCTGTCGTGGATACTCAGGGGCAAGCATACCTGCACCTCTGTCTGCCTTTTTTTGTCCCATACTTGCTCCATTCTCTGTTTCAGGTGGAAGAATTGATTCAAGATGGCACAATTTTCGGCGGCATGATTCCCAAGGTCAATACCGCGTTGGATGCAGTCAAAGCCGGGGTAGGGGCCTCCATAATTCTCGACGGTCGAGTACGAAATGCGCTCTTGCTGGAACTGTTCACGCCAGGCGGCGCCGGAACGCTCATCCGCCTTGCCGAGTAGATGCAAACCCTTGTCCACGAAGCACAAGTTCCTTTGTTAGACAATCTCCGGGTACACTAGCCAGTGTGGCGCGTGGCTAGTTGGGTGTTGAACGGATGCGAACGTTTTGGATAGTTTAGTATGCATCTGCAGCGTTGTGTGTTTTATCTAGACTGGGTGTGGTCTGGTGCGTGTTGTGTTCAATGTTTTGGTGTGTGTTGCAGCCCTCGTTGATGAACGGTGGAATATTTGGGTGCGCATGTAGTTTGCGAGCATAGGGCGTTTTTCATATGTAGTGTTCATAAATGACTGAACGACAGCTGCATGGGAATCCCGCGTCGGTTGGTCAACACGATGACCGTGTTCTTTATCTATTGCTGACATCGTTGGCTGTAGTGTAGTATGAGTTGTCCTATACTTTGTTGAAGGCATGGATTTCCGCTCGATGGCCGCGACAAGGGTTGTTGTTGTTGTTGTTGTTGACTTCACATTAAACCGTATGCCAGTTGCTAAATGCCAAAATCTAGCAAAGACTCTCAGCCCGTGGTCACGAAAGTGCTAGAGCCATCTGAGGATCTAAAGAACACGCACACGTAGCAAGAAAAAGGTATACAAGAGCCCGAAGAGGTACTACTACACCTATATATA